ATAGTTACAATATTAGATTAAAGGAAAAATAGCATATTCGTTTATTGAAAGATGTCATTCTTGTAGATTTGCAAGAAAATAGACTTCATACTTTGGAAGAATATATTAAAGCAATTAATGTGGTTACAGGAGTTCTATCTATATAGCGATACATTGAAAAAGAATATGCTATTCCTCTTGTAGCCGATTGGCCTGAGCAGATTCATCTTCGAACAGCTATTTCACATTACTTATATTATCATGATTTGTTGAACATTACTAATGATATTTTATCTTTTTTTCCTATTATAGGTTCTTTGCATATTTCGTTAAATAGCTGAGAATTAGTGTTTCTTCAATATCAGCCATTCTTTTCTGCATTGTATCATTTCATTTTTGGAAACAAACCTCTCGCACAAAATTCTAAACTATGGCGTATCAATCTCATTTTAGAGATTTCACATAGCACATGACAAGAAATTTTCACAACTGTCGAGTCGAAGTTTGGATCATTATGTAAAGATGCAGAATATTCTGCACTTAAAGACCTTCTAGATAACACAATTTCTCTTGTTTTAGATATTTATGCTTTATTTTTTCGATCAGGTAATTTTAGTACTTATCTTGAATCTTGCTTTCGTGTTTGGACAATTTTCTTTAGGTTCAATTGCAAAAATTATTCAAAGGCGCTATTAATGTTTCTTTCCAATATCTTTTATTGAAAATTAAACAATCATTCAATCTTAGAGACAATAGCAACAGAGCTTTCCAAGTTTTCTGATTCTACTGTCGAGATATTTCACAGCCTTTACGTCGAAGTACACAGAAGTATACTGAAACACAACAAATTATCAAATATGAACATTATATCAACTAATTATGTCTTGATAATAATGGCTTTAGAGAGAATTTTGTGCATATGTCACCATGGGCAACTTATGAATATTCTGCATGTAATATTTCGATTTTAACAAAAAAAACTTCATGTTTTCTTTTACAATGTTTTTCTGAAATTTACGTTCGATTATTTCATCATTAAATTCTATTAGTTTATCAATTACAGGTCGATCCAGAACCACCTTCTAAAAAAAGGAAAGGAAAAACTGATTATAACACAATCTTATTAGCTGCAATAAAAATATCAGAAGCACAATTATGCCATCTTCCTTTAGGGTTTAGTACTTCTCATAAACTCGATCCATTTCATTATTGCGACATATCTAATTGTTATTTTGCTTTTTTACCCATGAATACAGATATGATTATTGCTTTAGCTTGTAGTCATACGTATTACAAGCTTTGTTATATTAATAATAGATCCAAATGTCTATTTTGTCTTATATTTTTGCAAGAAGGTATCGATGAAAAGGTTCAATCTTTGCTAGGATATTTAAAAGGGCTTAAAAGTTCTAGCAAAAAAAAAAAAAAAAACCGTGATAATGATTCTCTTTGTGATGATGATGATCATGAAAATAGATCAGTAAAATATTCGGGATTAGAGTTAGAAGAAGCATTACAAAAATTTCGCTCCTTGCGCTATTGAATTTTATTTATTCATGTATTTTTTTTTTTATCAATTATTTAATATTTATTAAATTATTACATAATATTATTAAATTAAATTATTACATATTTATTAAATTAAATTATTACATAATATTTACTTATTAATGCAAAAAAAAAGTTGTAAAAATAAATTTATAAAATGTTTGTATATAATTTAACGTATAGATGAAAATGTACAGTTGGAATACTACGATAAGAGAACTTATAAAATAACTATATAAAAATTGACAAGAGCTAATCTAAACATATAAAAAAACTGATAAGTAGCTGATAAGTAACCTGTAGGAGAATTTACGATTCATGACAAATTATCACTTTTAAATTTAAAGATCATTTTAAAGTACTTTTTGTAAACATGAACTTTTAATAATAGATCCGGTTAATATCTTGGATTTATTTGTAATAAATATCATATTTTCCTATTTTACGCATATCTATCTATTTATAAGTATATTTGATAATTTCTTTTGCCTATATTATGGGTTTTGTATGAAGTAATTTTCGTTTCTAGTAGTATTACAGCAATAAACCCTTTAAAAAATTATATATTCTGATTGGCTGATTATAACGGGAAATCACGGGTAGATCTACAAAAATTAACCAATCATATGAATGTCTTCCTATGACTACATTGCAGGGTGCGATGCCTAATTAAGTCCTTATTTAAATACTAAAAATAATTAATACTACGAAAATAAATGTAATTTGATATAGTTATTCTTTTTTTTTTGTTCTTAATAAACTTAATAATAATAATATTGTAATAATTTACCGAAGATACAAGCTAAGTTAAATTAATCGTAGTTTTTTTTTAATCCGATTAATCGATAAAGTTATCCGATTTTAAAATCGATTCCCATTCCTAGACGAAACTAATGAAAGGTGGCGAAACTGACAAATGGTGATTTAATAATCAACCAAGCCGGCCTGCATTAGCATAATGCAGGCCAGAATTTCATTCGCCAATTTCTTAGGGTCACGGTTAGGGTTGTTAAATCTTAACTGACAACATGGCCCTTACAATATAGGTCTTAAAACCGGCCGAAACATGTGACAATTTCTACCAGCATTAACATCAACTTGACCCAGCCTCAATGGACCAATTTACATAAGTTATACACTGAAATCACTTGATTTCTGCCCATGCCCACTTACTGCGGAGTTAAGATAAATTCTGACCAGCTTTAAGATTTAGTTTGGCTGACATTAATGTTAAGAGAAGGACTCCAAAAAGTTCTAAGGTACAGTATTCTATGAATGAATATAAAAAAACGAGCAAGGTTGAGAAAATTTTAGAGAGAGTACAATAAGGATTGGGACCGCAAAAAATTATACTGACGATTAATCGCATCGCCAAACCATAATGATAAGTTTTATAATCAGTTAATTCGACCAATCAAATTTTACAAATAAAAAATGATCTACATAATAACATGATTACGTGTAGCTGTTTTTTTTTTTTTTTACATTCCTCTGATAAACCCTCTTACGCTTTATTTTTGAAGAAAGAAGTCTTTATACCGTAATATTTGGTAAGTTCGATCATTCTAAAAGCGTCAATTGTCTTTTTCATTGAATATTTTTTTAGAAACAAGAAAGTTCAGATTTGTAGTGGGTGGAACTAAATCTGACAAGCTAAGCTTGAGAACCCAGGTAAACTCCGCTTGTTTCTTTGAAGATATTTTTTGTCTAAGATTAATACCCGGTTAGAATGATGACAGAGTAATCTGTTATAATTTGGTCTGGAGTTTAAACTATGCTCAAAGCATCCCTTCAGACTCTCGAAGTTTAAACTATGCTTAAAGCATCCCTTCGTGTTATCCACACTTACTAAGCTTATCATTATTTCGATAACTTATATCAGTTTTTTTTTTCTTTTTTATGCTTAGGCTTCGCTGAAGCGGTAAATTTGGCCGGGTAAAGTTGCTAATAACTAGGGAATATGCCAATTTTGGCGGCAGTGTCGAGTGTATGAAGTAATATTGTAGTAATTATGTTGTAACCGTCAGTCGTAAGATATTTTAATAAAAAATTATTAAATATATATATTAAATTAAAATATATGAAGAATATAAAATTTAAATATTTATACTTTTTATAAAAATGTTTTTATTTATTATCGCTGCAATTCAAGTTTCATAGCACCGTTAAATACAAATCACGTTGATGTAAACCTGTACGGGGCATGAATTTATAATAAACGATTTAACCGTTTATAATATTTATTACTCGTTTAATCATATAACATAATTAAACGGTTAAATGCGGTTAAACGAATAACGGATCCCTAGCAAATTTTATATGTACGGACACCATGCCCCCAACCCTACGCGTAGCAAAGTGCGCAATATAGCAAAATCAAAAGTTTGATTTATACTATCTTCAAGCAAAAAAATAAAATAAAAACAAACATGAATAATTACTAAAACAAAATACAATAAAACAGATCGAGGTTTATAAAATATACAAAAAGCTATAAACAAATACGTAATGTATACAAAATTGAACCGCAAAAAGAAGATGAAGACTAGCAGAACCTCTATAAATATTATACCCGATTATAGCAGAACCAATCAAAAACAGCGGAAATAAAGTCTTTTATTCTATTGAATCAGGCAAATGAAATCAAGAATTTTAATGTTATTCTCTATCAAAGTTCTCAAGTATAGATCCGCTAAAATATATCCACTAATAAATCACACCTGTTCACTTTTATCAAATTATTTACAAAAAATTAGAATTTGAGATTAATTTAGACTGAATCATAAAAACGTTCGGAACTCCAATTTCAGGCTAGAAAATTTATTTCAGAAAAATTAATATTCGTCATAAATATAATGTAAAAGAGTTGTTTATTAAATTCAGAATACTCACACGATCGTCCAAACTTTTCGCCAAGGTATCTATCATCGCTGCATCATCTTGATCATCATCATCAGCATCATTATCATCATCATACTCTGTGTCTTCTTCAGTATTTTGCATGGAATCCACCATTTCCACGTCGTCTCGTGTTTCCCGTGATTGTCCCGCCACTTCATTAACTTCATTATTCTCCACTGCTACTTCTTGTATATGCATTTGTGCTTGTCTCTTGAATTGCGAAGTTCGTTGTCGTTGACTTCCCGCAGGATACTTCTCCTTATCCCGCTTTCTTTTTGTTTTTGACATTCTGCACTTATAAAAACCACAATTCTCTGACCATCTATTTCTACAAATCCAACAAAATCTATAACCACAGTGTAAACAATCAACTTTATTACATCCGTCATAACGGTTAATAAGAATAGAGCAATTTGGACAAGACTTTGAATTCGCAAGTTTCCATTTCATATTTTCGAGTGCATCCTTATGAACATGACAGTGATTAATAATGAACAAGTGAGGATTAGCAACTTTATAGCGCATAAATTGAATACAAGTCATGCCAGGGTGATGAGTAGACTCTCCACATTGAAGGCAAATATCATTGTTACAACGGGTACTATGAATGGGTAAAAAATTTAGTAATCACATTTAAAATCAAATATGATATGAAAATATTATTTATTTACCAATGAGATTGGGGGAAATTTGCCACGTGCATGAACTGCAGTTCTTTCCACGCATCAGGTCGGACCTCCAATGCAACAATCTTTGAAGAAATTTCTGCTGCAGATTTAACCATGTCTGTATGAGTTTTTAACTTGCGTCGTGAAAATTTTGAAGGACGTCGATTGTTGACGTCCATGCTACAATTTATTAGTCAAATAATTATTCAAAGGATACATAAAGTGTTAACAATTACTTACAGATGGTAATAACCTACCTCAAGCCGAGGCTTTCCCCCAATTTCTTTGCAATATATTCGTACATTTCCATTACTCCAATATTAGGATCTTCACCCGATATATATGCTAAATAATCTGCCTGATATCTTTCGAGAAAACTATCAATATCACTTTGATTTTTTGTGACACGATTTAAAGTATTTTTTCCTTTGTAGTTTTTTCCTGAACCGTACGTATCAAAATATTTACCAAGAAGAACAGAGATTTCTTTAAAATATCTACAAAAAAAAAAAAAAAAAAAAAACATAAGACAAATGGGTATTTATTTTTTAGAAACCAAAAAATAACTTTGATTATCAATGATGAACCAAATTTACTTCTCTTTCTCTTCAGCACACACTTGAAATACTTGTGCGGCAAAAACTTCTTCACCACATTCAGAGCAACACCGTGAAAACGAACGGTACGGTTTATTATAAGTATTATATAAGTCAATAACGTTTTGGTCTACGTACTTTTGAAATACCAACGCGAATCGATTATATGTGGTAAATAACGTTCAAATATCAACTATTTTAAAAATAAATAAATTCTTGTATTTACCTTGCTCCATTCTGATTGTGGAATAATGTCTTGACATACAGGACACTTAACTTTAGTAATGCCAAGTCCCCAGGAATTCTGAACTACCTCCTTAACATATCTATAAAAAATAAAAAAAAATCAGGCCATAATGAAACAATTGTTATAAAATTTATAATTTAGTAACGAATTAAATAAATCCGTAAACAAAAAAAAAAAAAAAAAAAAGAAAAAAGTTTACCTTTGGAAACAATCTCTACAAAATTGATCTCTACATAATTCCAAACAGAAATCGAGTTGAGCATCGAAACAAATCGAACATCTTTGAAGCCAATACTCAATATCTTGAGCTGATGTCATGTCACCTTCTCCCCCATTATCACTCCTCTGGGAGGAGCTAGAACTATTGATTGAAGACAGATTGAATAACGTAGATCTGGTTCTATTTGAAGTGAGACTACTGCCAATAGCTGCAGTTTTTGAAGCAAAAAACTGCAAAGAACGAATAAATATTGCAGGAACGATCTATGGATACAATATAATATGGAATTAAATTAAATATAGAATACTATATCACAATAATTATCATCAGCAAAGGTCATGATAACCATGTATAATGAACGATCGAATTCAATCATTAAACAACTAGTACGTGCACACAATTCGAACACAACTAACATTCACTTACCAGGGTCGGAGAAAATATAT